ATGCAACGTGTCAGGGGAATTATTAGGCAAATCGAAAATAATGGTCCTTGTCTGTCATTTGAATTTTGATTTATAATAAGGACAGTTACGTTAAATTGTTGAATAATTTAATAAAAATATAAGATTATTGTGGTCAGAGTTATATGCTTTTGAAATTTTTACCAAAACTTCAGGACCATAGGTTATACTGATTTAAACTACAAAATTTAAACTGTGTTTGAATATGTTTAGTCCACTGATGTTTCTTTACGAGTCGAGTTAAATAAACAGCGTTGGCAATTCTTCTATGGATTCAATATAGCGACCTGTACCTGCCTATGGTATTGTTGTTGGTTAAAAATTAATTTTTTTATTGACAGACTCTCTTCGACGAGGTTTTGTTTTGAAAAGAAAAGAAAAGTGTGACGTGTAAGTCACTTCCGTATTCTTGTTTTATCGAGTTTAAATGTGACTGCTCGCTAACGCCTGAGTTTTGAAAATAAGGGTTTATTTAAGCCATCCATTAATTTGGGATTTAAGAAGTACGCTTTCGCATAGGCTAGCGATTATTGGATATAGTGGCAATTGATATTGCTACTATATCCAATTGATATACTACTGATCAATACAATATCAATCCAACAATTGCTATACTAGTGATAGACGTTGTTCACAACGCCCTAATTGTTTTAGATGAGGGATTAATGTCTAGTTTGAGAGTAATTAGCTCAAGTGCAGTATAGTCGAAGGAGATTTTTATTGGAATTGCGCTGAAGACACGTGGCTGCCTGAAAACGCTAAGACCCCATTTCTGTTGGGTAAGACATTCTATGTTAAATAAAGCACTTATGTTAAAAAGAAATTAAACAAACTGTTTTATGGATCTTTTTTTTCTGACCCCGTCTGATCCAAAAGTTCTTCGTTATCATTTTATCGTGTTTGCTGACCATTGTGGTTTCCTAAACAAAATCTAGAATTTTTGTACCCTGTAGAAATTTGTAGGTCTTTTGCTTCTTCTTCTTATTGTGTCGTATTTTTTCGAAAGTTGGTGATCCAAATGATAATTGTAGCTTTGAAAACTGCTCACGATTTCTGTGGATGTGCGGTGAAATCATCTCCTCAGGTCTTTCAGCCACGAGTTCTGGCGCCTTCCAACTGATCTTTTGCTCTGCAGTTTACCTTCCATTATGATTTGGAGTAATTCATATCATTCACCTGACAACACATGACCCATCTTCCTCTCTTTGATTATGCTGAGTAATTCTTTTTGTTTACTCATACGCCGAAGTACCTTGGTTACTTTTTGTTCCCATGGAATTCTCAGCATCCGTCTGTATATATACATTTCAAAGGCATCTATTCTTTTTTGAGTTTCAGAGCCCATTGTCCAACTTTCACAGCCGGCCATACAGAGAAAACGTAATATCTGATCATTTGAATTCTGAGCTTTAGACTAAGGTTTAACTGTAAAAAATATTTTCATGTTCATGAGTGTTTTCCTCGCTTGTTTGATTCTTTATAGGATATATTTTTTTGGGCTACACTGGCTGTTGATATTTGCTGCCAAATATTTTATGGAAGTTACCTGTTCTATGCCTACAAATGTACTTTTGTTGGTATCTTTGAAAATATTAGAATTTTAGTTTTGGAAACATTTAGATGTATAACGAACATTTCGGTATGACGGAACGATCTACCGCATTTGTTATATTTTTGTGCGTTGCTTGCTATTAGGACGGTATCATCAGCGTACCTGATGTTCTCTATGCTGGTTTCGTTGATCTTGATTCCACCTTGAACCTCGTCTAATGCTGTTCTGAATATATAGATTGTCGCACTCCTCGTCGGATTCGTATATCTTCGGATGTTGTGTGCTCTATTTCAGTTGTTGCCGTTTAGTGCCAATATAGTTCTGAGATAATTCGCAAGTCTTGTTCGTCAATTCCAATTTTTCTCAGTCATCGCAGTTTGACGCATTGGATTTTTTGTTAATGTTACGAATGTTGATTTTAGCCAGTCTCATGGTATTTTATCTGTGTCATATATTTTATTCAATAGTGCTGTTATCAAATCGAGGCTTTTACATTCGTTGTCTGCAATTAATTTAAATATTTCGAAATTTATATTGTCCGGACCGGTGGCTTTTCCGTTCTTCTTTTTTTTAGCTTTTACTGCATAAATAACTTCTTCTTTTGTTATTTTTGGACCTTTTTCATTCTCTCATTCACTATTGAGTCTGTCATCGTCAAAAAGTGTCTGAATGGAATTCTTTCCGTTTCTCCAGTTTTTTTCTGTACCTATAACCTCGTTATTATTATTTCTTAATATTGTTTCTTGTCACTTTCTGTGTCTACCTGTCATTTCTTTTACTTTTTTATGGACATTAAAGGTGTGGTATCTTTCTTGGGTCTTTTGCTGGGTGTGTCCTAAATATTTCAGGGTCTCCTCTTGGGTGCTCATACAGTTTTTGTCTTTTACGGTCCAGCTCCTCGCAATCGCATAATACCTATTTTACAGTTTCTAGTTCCTTGTCTCAGTCTGCATTAAAGGTCTTTATTGTAATGCCTTTTTTTTCAGGAATTCCCTTACTCGTGCATGCCTGTCAACGTTTCTGTTACTGTTCTGTTGGTTCCTACCCATATGAAGCAGTTTCTCTGTTAATTTTCATGGACTTGAAAGGAACTTCCTCACCATCTGGCCTCGGCGAATTTTCTTTTAGTTTATTAACTTTAACAAGTTTCCATGTTAATTATTTATATATTAAACTTGATTAAATTTTAAATGATAAACTAAAACTTCATTGACAAACTGCCTAAATTTCAGCTTTTAATGTTTATAAACAATTGCGCTGTAAATTAAAAAAATTGTCTCCGGTTCTATGGGTCGTAAACATTTCTTTTGATATTAAAGATGTATTTAATGTATTAGGTCTGGCTATTAAATAACGAGACTGCTTATGAAAAAGAGCTTTATTTTAAAAAATATTCTACAATCAAATGCTCTCCTTCAATATATTCCCCTTCCCTCGCCTCACACCGTTCCATTCGTTTTTTACATTGGTCAAACCAATGCTGGAAGTTTTCTTTTGTTAGAGCTTTTAGGAGCTCCGCCGTTTTTCGCTTCACTTATTCCATCGACTCGAACCGGATTCCTTTTAAGGCAGATTTGATCTTCGGAAACAGGAAAAAGTCACAGGGTGCTAAATCAGGCGAGTACGGCGTGTTCGAGCACTGGAATGCCTCTAGCGGCTAAATATCGCTTCACAGATAGCGCGTTATGGGCAGGTGCGTTGTCCTGGTGCAAGATCCACGGCTTGTTTTTCAACAACTCCGGCCGTTTCTTACGAACTCGCTCTCGCAGCGTTGCCAAAACTTTCAAATAGTAAGTTTGGTTTACATTTCGACATTTCTTTGATTACATTTCTGGAACCCATTCAGTCATCACGATGCCGGTAATGTCGAAAAAAAAACGATTAGCATAGCTTTAAATTTTGATTTCGACATCCTTGCTTTTTTCATTCTTGTCGATACAGGAGTTTTCCACTGCATGGATTGTTGCTTAGTTTCAACATCGTATTTGAATATCCAGGTTTCATCGCAAGTGATGATGTTTTCCATTAATTCAGGCTCTTCATTTAATGTTTTAAGAAAATCTGAGCAGATCTGTTGACAGACGAGCTTTTGGTCAGGGGTCAAATTTTTTGGGATCAACTTCGCACGTTCAATTCGTCATGTAAAATTTTTCTGACAGTTTCTTTATAGGCGTTTACAGTCTCAGCAATCATCCGAATGCTTATACGACGATCTCCGCGCACAATTTCATTTATTTTGGTCACTGTTTGCGGAGTTAAAACAGAGACAGGCCGACCTGGACGTTGGTCATCTTCGGCGCTCTCTCGACCGTTAGCAAACCGTTTATACCATTCGAAAACACAAGCACGAGACAGAGAATTCTCACCATATGCCTCTTTCAACAAATTATAGCACTCACTCGGAGTTTTTTTTTAATTTATCGAGAAATTTCACCTTAATCCATTGCTCATGTTTTTCGTCACACATTGTTATCGGCACGAGAAAAAAAACGCATTCTTTTTAAATCTCTACAGAACAAATTCTACTACAGCGACAAAAACGTGTTTTCACACTGGAAGAGTAGACACTTCTAGCTATCCAATGCTGCATTCGTTTCCCACTTTTCGCCTCTAGGACGCCTTCTGCGCGCGCAGTCTCGTTATTTAAAAGCCAGACCTCGTATACATTATGATTTCAAATTTTCATGTTTTATACATGAAAAACCCTATAAAGAGAATCAGACCAAAAAAACATTCAGAAAGTATTGACAAAGCACCTGTACAGCCATGTTAAAATGACCTTTTTATCTCCCAAATTGGATAACAAATAGAATTGTTTTAAAACTATTTGACCGATCGGGCCCATCTTTCGCAAATATAGTAACTACATAAACTCTCATATTATGAAATGTGTTTTAAACATTTTTAATGTTTATTTTAATAATTATAAATAATTGAAAAAATGCTTACTTTCGTAGTCGTCTGTTGAAAGTTTTCATCTACAATGCGTAGTTTTTTTATAATATTGAAATGAATGAAAAAATTCGCTTTTTTGCTTAAATGTTAATAAAAAAATAATGTCCCAGTAAAAATTTTGATACCCACGAGATGGTACCCCTTTTCTATTGACTTCCCCCAGGTATTTCAGTTGAAAAATAGCGCCCAGTAATTTCAACTATAAGTTTTTTTTTTTCGACATCGTTTCCTCTGGGGTAATCATCAAATTATTGATTGCTGCTCGGAGAAAAAGTGTTGTTTTTTGAGAATACAACTATCTTAGGTTTTTATGGAATAATATTTTTCTTCCTCTTCCTAGACCTCTTTTTTCGATCATTTCATCTTGCAGCTGCCCATTTCTAGGTGCCACATGCTAGGGAACATGCACAAAATATCGTTGTTTAACTTTTAGGAAAATGGGAAAATGTAAATTAAGAAAAACACAAAGCAGTTTTCATAAGATTCAAAAATTTATTACACTACGCACATCATTGTTAAAAATCTCTTTCGTTTATTTTTTTAATATTATATATTTATAATGAATCCAATTATAGTATTAATAAAAGAAGCAATGCCAGTAGTTGTACCACAGCCTAGTGTAGATACTCCTTGAAATATACTAGCAACAGTTGTATCAATGGCATTAACAATATTTATAAGAAAATCAAAGAACGCAGTAAACAGAATACCGCGGAATGATGTTAACAACGTTATTAATGTATTAACAATAAACCGTTGAACACTTATTATGGTGTTAACGAAAAAATTTACTATAGTACAACCTAGATTAAAGACACTGTTAACATAATTTTGCGTGTTTAACAAAGCGCTGTTGAAAATTCTTGGTTGGCGTTGTAGGTCTCTAAAACGGTTGATATTATCATCAGATTTGACGCATGAAAAGCTAAGGAGCACCTGAAACATAAAATAAAACTTTAAAAGTTTTTAGAAACTTAAAAATAACATAAGTGAAACTCAATCCTGAAAAGCCTGTCAGTAGCTCTTCCACAATAATTAATATGTCATATTATTGTATAATTTCACGCTTTCTTGTATTAAGATTTTATTAATTTTTTTCTTTATTTTCCTATTAACAACTTCTTTGGCTGAAATAATATTACCAAAAGGTGTTAATAATTTACTTTAGTACATTCTATTATATCACTTTGAAACTCTTAGCGTATGTATAGTGATGATATTCTTACCAAGATTTTTATTGCTCTTTTGTCCCTTACTCTTAATCTTCCTCTATTTATGGATTACTCGTACAGCATTCGTGAGGTTTGTATCCAGTAATTTCTCCACTGTCTCAGTCCATCTGGTTGGTGTATTTCAATAGCTCTCTTTCGCTTCGTTTTTTATGTTACACTCTACCCATCACCCTCTCCATATTGCCTACACGGGCGATATAACTACTAAAGTTTACTATATCCTTGTAAACAGTAATCTAAAAAAGACTTTGTGTATTGTCTGACTTCTCAGGAAGTAAGTTGTTTGTCTTTCCAGCTGTCCAATTTTGTTATGTTCCTCTCTTATTTTGGCGAGGCTTGGCTTTGGTGTCCTGTCCATATCAATACATGTAGATGTCAACTACTTAACACATGTTCCTCACTGATTGTTTAATAATTGAGGTATCAACGTTTGTTCTTCATTTTAGTGATAAGCGGTTTAGACACCCTATAGTTAGACAATCGTTAGTGTTGGAGTATTACAATTGCAATAAAATAGGTAGCATTACATAGTCTATATACAAAGCAGGAACTCCAATAAATGAACAAATATCTTGCAATGCAGCTTCAGTAAAAAAGTTTACAATAGTCAAAAAGATTATCTTTGCTGAGATGCGTGTTGTGTCATGGAAGAACAGTCAGTTTCTTTGTTTTGTAATAAAATTTATGACAAAATAATTTGCTTAATGGCAAAATATAACAGAACCGCAAAGGATTTCGCAAGCTTGCTGTGGGCAATTGGAAGTATGTTGCTTAGGATAAAGATCCATGGAAGGAGTTGCGAGAGGCGTGTGTGCAAAAATTTACGTTAGAAGATTAAGAAGAAGAAGCAAGTTTGCTATAAAGTCAGGTGGTCTTGAGGAAAATCATATATCGCTACTCGACTGTCGATAAATAATCTTAAAACTTCATAAAGCAACATATAAAATTAAAGTAGGTAGAGGAGACAAGGGGATACCATCTCGCCAAAACTTTTTATAACTGTCCTCGAATAAGCAATGAAATCACTATCTTAGGACAACACAAAGATCAATATCGACAGCGAAAGGATAACTCACGTTATATTCACAGATGACATAATTGTTATCACTCACAACATTGCTGATGCACAACAGATGCTTGACGAATTATTAAAGGCCTTATTTTAAGTTGGTCTCTGAATAAATGCAAGCAAAACCCAAATAATGACAAATCTAGTTCTCGTACAAGGACACGAAATACCAATTGGAAAGAACAACCAAACGCATGAGATACAGCGTTGATAGGTTTGGGCTGGGTTGCTTTTGAAAAATTACGGGAGATATTTAAGAGTATCCATGTATGCCTGTATAGACCAATACTATACATAGACTATATGACCAATTCGTGTTATCGATAATGACATACGGAGCGGAGACATTAACATTAACAAAAAAGCAACCCTTATCGGAAATTTTAAGACTAGCCCCGAGAGCCATGGATAGAGTCTTTCGCGGAGTCACTAAAAGAGACAAAATACTCAATACCACCATCAGACAAAGAGCGAAGGTTAAAGATATAGTGAATCATGTAACGCAGTGGAATGGAGATCGACAGGTCATTGGCAACGACTGAATGATGACGATGATCAACTTGCTTTAATGTTTTCTTTTATTTTTCGAAATTACAAAATACAACTTTGAAACCGCTAAAATATGTCTGGATATATAATTTAGGCTCCATGGAATTAGCTGGCTTATTTATATTCTAATATATATTAATAAAAATAAATCGCCGATATGTTTGAACGGACATCTAATAATGATATTATTAGATGCCCGATAATTCTTTTTTTGTTATGTTTCTTATTATCGGGAGAAGGTTTATGTAAAATAATTTTCAAAAAACCGTACGAAAAACAGTTTTTCTCTTATTTTAAATCGCAATATAACTAATGGATGCCGCCATAATGTGACTTACAAAGGAAGCTTGGATTAGTAAACTAAATGTCAGTATTTATAGATTGGGCAACCATACCATAACTTGAAGTTTGCGTGTTTCGCGCATGAGCAATTACTCGCGTATCGGAAATCCGTCATCAATATGAAAAATAAAGAAGTTATCAGAAACATACAACAGCTTGCACTAAATGATAAAAACTTGTCTCTCTTTTTTTGACCTTCAAATTGTTTTAGCTACCCTTTTGTCTAAGCTAAGTGATTTTTACTACAAAAGCAAATACTCTACATATAACTTTATAGTTTATAATTATCGGAAATAATCAGGCGTATTGCTATGTCTGACATGAGCAGGTGGCTAAAAGAGGTCCAAATGAAATTGCCAGTTGCCTCTGGAAATTTTTAGATCTCAAGCCAAAACATAGTGTTAAAACGATAATTTTCTACTTAGACAATTGTGGGGGACAAAATAGGAATTGTTTTTTGCTTTTGCTACTGCACATTTTCACCTTGATATTGTTTACAGATTTCTGGAAAAATGCCACACTCAGAACGAGGGTGACAGTATGCACGGTGTTATCGAAAATGCAAATGAAAGGCAATCGGTTGTATATGTGCCAGAACAGTGGGTGACTTTAATCAAAATGGCTAAAACTACAGGAAGAGTTTATGATGTTGCGGAAATGTCCCAAGATATTTTTTTTAACTTTAAACAACTGACTGATGCCGAGAATTGGAAAATTGGCAACGAAAACAAATCAATAAAAGTTAGCAAAATACGAGAAATGACATTTTCACATGAATACCAAAATTATATAATGTTTAAATATGAATTCGATGAGGTTTTAGTTGTGACATAAAATTAAATAGAAATTGCAGAGGATGCAATGGACGGCCTTCCACTACCATCAAATTTCCACCGAAACTGTATGATGCACCATTACCAATTGAAGAAAAAAAGCTAAAAGGATTATTGTGGCTGTGTAATTCTAGCAAAATACCTACAATATTCCATGGATTTTATAAAAATCTTAATTCAAAGAGTGTAGTTAATGTACCACTTAAAGTCGAGCTCAAAGTTGATTCAGTTGAGAGCGAAGAAGAGTTAGAGGAGAAAAATTGAATTACAATACAAAACTGCAAATTAGATCAGTAATTTCTTCAAAATGTAGTATTTTATATAATGTTTAGAAACAAATAATTCTGGTATTTATTACTTTAAAAATATCTCCATCGAAAACTATAGTAACTCATTCAAAAGCCACTTATGATCATATCTGTCTTAAATATGTTTTACTCTTGAAGATAATTATTAAAAGTACAACTTAATGCTATAAAAACATCCATTTTATAGCATCCATATCATAAAAAATCAGTTACTACAGTTTTCGTAGGACCAGTCGAATATGTAATAACACTTAAGTAACAATGCCGTCAATTCTTATCGGTAAGGTTTTTTGGCCAAACATTTTTGCACGGCATTGATAACTTGATAGATAATACAAAAATAATGCGACCTAATGCCGTACAACTGTGCAACTGCGACCTAATGCCGTACAAAAATATTACTACCAGTAGCAGGGATAATTTTTTATTTTCGGAAAATTTTTTCGCCATTTTCATAAAATACACAAGTTTCGGTGTCAGGTGTGAGAAATCAAATTGTGATGATTGTGTAGGTACTGTAAATGTAAATACTGAATCGGATCACGATATATTCCTTTTAAGGTTGAATTTTATTAATCCAACTATGACAACAGTTCGAAATACTTTCAGAGTATCACATGAAGGCGCTATAGATGCATTCAACAATCTCTTGAGTAAAGAAACATGGCAAGATGTTTATCATGCAACTGATGTTGAGAGTAAATATAATGCCTTTCATGATAAATTACAGTTCTATTTCAATATTAGTTGTCCTATTAGAGAAACCAAACATTACCAAAACAAAAAAAAATACATGGGTCACCCAAGAAGTAAAATCTTCTTCAGATAGTCTGAAGGATTTGTATATATTGAGTAAGACTTACCCTGAGCTAAAAACTCTACATAGACAAAAAAAAAATATCAGCACAAAATTCTTGTTGAGGCCACAAAGGGTCAGTTTTATTTTAACAAAATCTCTGAATCCTCTAACAAAAACAAAACCACATGGGCTGTTATAAATGAACTTAATGGAAAACAAAAAAATCACAAAAATATCTGTCTATTAATAGATAATACTAGGATTACAGATTCAGATATAATATCAAACAAATTTAATGATTACTTTATAGATGCACCAGTGTATATAATTAGTAAAATAATTAAACCAAATTTAAATTTTCAGCATTCCAATGATTTTGTTCAAAGTAGTTTGTTCCTATCTTATGTAACAGAGAAAGATGTCTTAGATATAATAAAATATAAAATTAAAAACAAAGCATCGTGTGGTTTTGATGAAATATCAGGTATTGTAATTAAGAAAATTGCGTCTCAAATTTTGACACCACTGACTCATATTATAAATGCTTCTTTCAATACTGGTGTTTTTCCCAATATGCTGAAAACTTCTATCATTTCACCGGTATTAAAACAAGGTGATCCTGAATTAATGTCAAATTTTCGACCATTGTCTGTTCCATCTGTGATATCTAAGATTATTGAATATGCAATGCTAAAACAACTTTTATTATTTTTAGACATCAACCAAATTATCACAAAGCATCAACATGGATTTCGAAATAAATTTTCTACTTCCACAGCCATTAACAGTTTTTATGAGGAAGTCTTACTCTCAATTGAGAACAGTGAAAATCCAACTGCCATTTTTTGTGATCTCAGTCGTGCATTTGATTGTGTGCAACACGATGTGCTCCTCGATAGATTGTACAGATATGGTGTTAGGGGAGTTGCCCATAGTTGGTTTGGTTCCTATCTGAAAGACCGGCACCAAATAGTTAAAGTGAAAAATAACTTCAAGATTTCAATGTCTGATCCGATTATTAATAATAATGGAGTACCACAGGGCTCAATATTAGGATAGGCCCTATATTATTTATTTTGTATATTAATGAACTACCATATGTAATGCCTGATGCATTTGTATCAGTTTATGCAGATGACTCAACAATACTATATCGCGATAAAGACATAAATTTTTTACAAGATAAAATAACAAACTCACTGAAGACCTTCTCTGATTGGTCCAGTAATCAGTCGCTCCTGTTCAATGTTCACAAAACTAAATTTTTATCATTTACACTGCATTTACAACACGTTCAAATTCTACTAAACCTGATTTAAGTATTTCCATCAATGGTGAGAATATTTTGAGTTGTAGTGATGTGAAGTTTTTAGGAGTGACTTTCGACTCTCATTTATCTTTTAAGACTCATTGTTGGAATGTATGTAAAAAACTCAATTCTAAATGTTATCAATTGAGAAATTTGGGTAGAATACTTAGTCTGCAACACCTTCGTCTTTTTTATTTTGCTGAGGTACAATCGACAATAAGTTACGGTATAACTGTCTGGGGTGGTTCTTCTAGTGTAAAGGACGTTTTCAAGGCCCAAAAGCGTATTGTCAGATGTATAGCAGGTGTTCCGTATGGTTGGTCTTGTAAAAACCTATTTAGAGATTTGAATATATTAACAGTGTATGGAATTTACATTTTGGAATTATTGATACTAATTCATAAAAATAAAAGAACTTTTTTATGTAACAATGATATTCACTCACACAACACAAGAAGTAAGAGACAGTTTGTAGTACCCTATCGACATTTAGAAATAAGCAGGAAGTCATCTACTATCTGTTGTTTACTACTGTATAATCAACTTCCTCAAAAATTTAAAAACATTAATTCAACTACAGCTTTTAAAAACCAAGTCAAAGAGTACCTAGTAACCATATGTCCTTATACATTAGGTGAATATTACGAGGGTGTATCTGTGAATGCCTAAGCTGCAACCTATCCAAATTTATTAATATTTTAATTATATGTCTACATTGTACGTTTTTCAAGTATTTTAATGTTTTAAATATTTTTAGTGTATTGTCTACATTTTTTGTACTATTTAATATTTATAATTTTAGTTTTGACTTGCTGTATACCTAGTTGTAACTTACAGTCAAATAAACTATCTATCTATCTATCTATCTATCTATCTATCTATCTATCTATCTATCTATCTATCTAAGGCGCAACCCTTAATTTGAATCCCCATGCTTTTGTACCTATAATAATTGGCGGCATAGTTTCTAAAGTTGTTATATATTCTAGTATTGATTTATGTGTGATTCATTCATTCATGGGTCAAATAACCCATTAAAATGTCCCATGGGCTTATGGTCTATTACAAAAAAGTACTCTAAAACTGGTACCATACATAAATTGTCCTAAAATTGAGGCTTAACAAAACAGCGTACTAGTTTTGTTGAACTATTACATAAATAGTCAGTTTAAATACAAATTGATTTATGAGGTGGTCAATCAAGTTCAATAATATTCCAGTAGAAAAAAACCATTAAACAAATATTTTACCACAGAATAGCTACAATAAATAATCAAAAGTATAGTCTTTGTTAGAAACAGCAAAAATTAATATTGTTCCCAAGATGAACTAACAGGTGGTATGTGTAATAAAATTGTATGTAATGCTGGAAAACCAGTTTCATTTTTCAATATAAAAAGTAAAATGTACTTAATGAAACTATTCTGTTTAAAAAAATATATATGAATTTATTATCAAAAACCAAAACTAGGAAATTAAAATGCAATGCTAGAAAGAAAATATGATAATTGATAATATAATAATTAATAAATTGTCAAATGCTTACCAAAGTAACAAAAATTATGGTTTTATTCATCTTATCTGCTGAATTAAAGATATTTTTTAACCAAGTACACCTTCAAGTAATAAACAAGAAATTATTATGGCTATTTTTGATTTATATGTATAACATATTAATACCGAAAGAATAGTGTGGAGATAATACCCGTCAGATATATTACTATGTATTTGCTTAAGAGTTTACAGCAAATATAGATTTGTATAAAAAATATAAATCAGTAGGGTAAGTATATATACATATACATTAGTAACGTCTACAAGTAATTTATAAAATTATTTACTTAAACCTAAATGATGTTTTTATATATTTACTATTCAATATTTTTGAACGTACGTCCCTCCGTTCTGATTCATATTTCTATTTTCACAACCCTATTCACTGCTTGTGCAGTGAATAGGACAGTGTCCAATTCCAATTTATTCTGTTTTTTATGATATTGGACCACATGAAGTAATCATTAATGTGATTTATTTAACTTTCCTTTTCCTAAAAAATATTCCACAAATTTCTATGGGGTGGTAAAATTTTTTTTATTTGAGTCCATTGATTAATATATTTGATTACGAATAATCTACGTGTACGCTTGGCTATCACTATATATAGATCATTTAGAGACGATGCAAATATTAATAGAAATATGCACCGACTATAATGTGTCTATTCACTTTGCATTCTTGGACTTTCGATACAGCAGATTTACAGCTGATCATAATATCCATGGAAAAAGCATCACTGGAAAAAAATTATTTTAAGATAACATCATTCTATTTGCCTTTATCCCTATGCTTCCCTAATTATAGTTTCTCATAAGTTCCTATCTGGGATCAAACCAATATCAATTATCACACAATTATCAGTTATCACATTATTTGTAATGGCAACTCCATCTTTGGTGTCATCGTGAAAACCATCAAAATAAACCGCCTAAGATGCGTGGGCCACGTTGTGCTGATAGATGAAAGTGACATTGCTAAAATATCCATACTAAATAGGCCGGCCGGAAGAAGAAAAAGAGGGCGACCTAAACTCAGATATCTGGACGATGTGTAAGACGAGTTAAGACAGATTGTGGTAAGGAGATGGAGAAGCTAGAAACTACATTCTAGACCCTTTTCCTCACGCGATTCTTTCAAAATTCATATACAAGCTGTTTGTATTATCTTTAAAATTAAAATGAATTTGGCACCATCCTTTAATAGTTTACCCTCGTAAGGAAATAAGTTCAGACAAATAAATAAAATGAAACATTAAAAACAAAGCTAACCTTTCGAGACTCGACAGGGAACCATTGTAACGAAAATTTTTTAAGAAAAGTAAGAAAACAAAAATTTTATATCTTGGCTTTAGATTATGAATGAGAAATATTTATATGAAAATAAAATCATACTTTATCCTAAATATCGAAATTCGTTCACATAAAAAAATTCTATTATATAAAAGATATTTATATATTATGTTATGTAATTAAAAGACCAATAAGAAAGCAAAGCACTGTTATTTAGTTCATAGATAATCTTCACTGTTCAGTAAAAAAATAAAATTGGTACAACCTGAATTATCCAAATGCTTGTGTGTCTTGTAGAAAGGATATAATTTTTACCAACTAATTACTCAGGCTGGGACTTCGGAACGTTGAATCTATTGGCAGCCGAAACATATATCCATCATAAAAGTATATAGGATTGGACGGCTAAGCAAACGGTACTTATACCAAACAACGATAATTCTTTGAATTATTGAGGATGTCATGTAATGGCGGCCAACTATGCATTCTGGTTTCAGAACAGATACCATAAATTCATAGCTGTTTAGATAACCTCGGGCCAATAAACATAGTTCTGGCTACTATTAGTGCTCCCGGTAAAGGTCTAAAATAAATATATGTTTGAAATATAAAAGAGAAAAGAAATTTTTTGGCGTAGCTCGTTAACAACCCACTTAAACAAAATTTCGTCCTCTATGCTGGACGTTCAGAGACAGAAAAGAGAGATTAATTGCGGGGAGGTTACGAACGCTCGTATTTTGAGGCCAAAGTCGGAACTATTAGGAACTGCAGTTGGACTCTTGACGTAATTTAGATGCTTCAGCACTCGACGGATAGATGGCGGGAGTAACAATAATTTGAATATTTACTAGAAATAATAATAATACATTTTTCAAACTTTTGAAACGGTTACATTTCTACCAACAACTTGCAAATCAGAAGTTCTTCTTATTCGGTGATTAGCGCCTTGACGTTGAACAATCTTTATGTCACACACACACACCACTCGCCTTCTTCCATTTCATCCATCTCGTCCTACCTCTATCTATTTTCCCATTACTCTGTAACATTAAACTTACTTACTTACTCCGTGGCGTTACAACCCTTCGTGGGTTTTAGCCGACTCGACAACATGCCTCCACTATTTTCTGTCTTGAGCAACCTCCATCAAATTCTCCACGCCCATAGTGCTTAGGTCTCCTGCTATATTATCTCGCCATCGGAGACAAGGGCGTCCGCGTGGTCTCCTTCCAGTTGGGACTTCCTCCCACACCAGTCTTACTGTTCGTTCGTCAGAATGTCTTCTGAGGTGTCCTGCCCATTGGAGTCTTCTGGACTTTATTTCTTTTATGATGTTGGCGTCTGGGTAAAGTTCTTCAAGATCTTTATTAGTTCTTATCCTATATTGTCCTGATGCTTCATCAAGCACCGGACCAAAGATCTTCCTTAGGATTTTTCTTTCCCAAATACGTAGTCTCTTCATTTGCCTTTGTTATCGTCCACGTTTCGCTTCCATACATCACAACGGGTCGGATGATTGTTTTATAGACCTGTATCTTCGTACGTCGTGTTAGTTGTTTTGATTTTATAAGGTTTTGGAGGGCAAAAATACATCTGTTGCCGGCCTGAATCCTGTTGTTTATTTCTTGTGATCCGTTATTGTCTTCAGTTATTGTTGTTCCAAGATACTTGAATTCTCTAACGCGCTCAAAGTTAAAGTCATCGATGGTAATGTTCTGGGTAGTTAACATTAAACAATTAACAGACATTAAACTTGGGTAGTATTAATTTTCACAATCATTTTACCATCCAAAGTTATCACATTATTTGTAATGGTAACTCCATCTTTGGTGTCATCGTAAAAACCATCAAACTAAACCGCCTAAGATGGCCACGTTATACGGATGGATGAAAGTGATCCTGCTAAAATAACTATGCTAAATAGGCCGGTTGGAAGAAGAAAAAAGGTGCGACCTAAACTCAGTTATCCGGACAATGTGCAGGACGATTTAAGGTAGATTGGAGTAAGCAGATGGAGAAGACAGACACTCGACAGGGAAGTATGGAAGAATGTTTTGAGGCAGGTCAGGTCTCACGAAGGGCTGTACCGCCAACTGATGATGATGAACTCCATATTTGACTGACCATTCCAAATACTCTAAGAACTAATCACTCTTATGCAATCCTAATATTGTTCTGTTATTAATTAATCCAAATATTACTATTTTCTTGTGGGATCTTAAATTAATTAACATTTTAATAAGAATAAGCCACAATTGAAGTTTAAAATAAGTTTATTGATGTTTCAATTTCGCAAACTTAATTTCAAATGACACAACTCAGCAATATTGGCAATATCATTTTAAAGTCGTCTACTTTAAAATGTATAATACATGTCTGAATTGTCAATATGAATAAGTCAGGAGCGCCTACTGCGGAACCTCTCTATGAACTCTATCATATGCTTTCTCAAGATTAATGAATACCATGTTTGTTGTTTATTCCTATAACCAGCATTTGTTTCTTCCTTCTTATATTTTTCCATCAGCTTCACTTCAACGTCTATCAATAATTACTTTCTCTCATATTTTGATGGGTGTCTAAATGTACATCAAAAATTCATCATCATTCTGGCTTTACAACCCTGCGTGGGTCCTAGCCTCCTCAAGAATTTTTCTCCAATCATCCCTATCCATCGCCTTTCTCGGCCAAGCCCATATTCCCACATTTCTCATGTCTTCATCGATGTTATCAAGGAACCTTGTTCTGGGTCTTCCTCTTCTCTGACCAATGGGTCTATCGGGGAGCGTTTTTCTAGCTGGGTAATTTTCTTCCATCCGCATTACATGCCCTATCCACCTAAGACGTCCTATCTTAATATGTTTTACGATATCAGGTTCCTGGTATGTTCTATAAAGTTCGAAGTTGTATCGTCTTCTCCACACTCCATTGTCATTCACTGCTTCATTGGTTCGCCTTAGTACTTATCTTTCGAAACATTCTAACACGTTTTCATTATGTTTTGTTAGAGTCCAGGTCTCTGAACCATATGTTAGGACTGCAAATTCCGCGGTTTATCTCTACGGTAGTATTATTTTCAGTGTTAATATTTACCATATTTACAGTGTTAAGGAGCGCTCCCAGGTATACAAATTCGTTCACTACTTCGATGACGTCGTTTTCTATAGCAAGTGGTCGTAGGATTTGGGGTTGCGTGCTTATTTTCATACACTTTGTTTTGTTGGTGTTTACTATTAAACCCATTTTTGTAGCTGATTCTTCTAATGCTACATACGCCTCTCGTACAGCGTTTTCCTTTCTTCCAACAATATTGATATCATCAGCACAGGCCAGGACTTGCACTGATTTATTATATATTGAACCAGTGGTTGTGATTTGTGACAAACATATTGCTTTTTCCAGAGCCAAATTGAACAGTATGTAGGAGAGAATGTCTCCCTGGCACAGTCCGTTATTTGTTTTAAAAGGTTCCAGACAATTCCTCCTGAATTCGTACTCTACATTCGTAACTTTTTCAAGAGTTAGTTTTGGTAAATTTACCAACTGATTTGGTATTCCTACCTCTTTCATTGCTTTGAACATTTCTTTTCTATTCACAGAGTTTTTTTCCAAAATTTGTTTCAGGGTTGCAATCTGATGAATTGTCAATTTACCACCTCTGAAACCAACCTGGTATTTTCCTATTATCCGTTCTGCATATGGTGCCATACCGTGACATAGTACTGTGGAAAATATTTTGTATGCAGCATTTAGAATCGTAATTCCTTTGTGATTAGAGCATTCAAAGATATCACCTTTATTCTGTATAGTGCAAATTATTCCAATATTCAAATAATTGGGGGGGGGCGCAATTCTGTGTCCATATTTCTTTTATAAGCTGCTGTAATGCCATTATGGTACCATGGCCACCTTCTTTATATCGTTCAGCTGGGTGATTATCTATTCCAGCTGATTTGTTTCTGGCTAGTTTTTTAACTGCATCTTTAACTTCTCTTCCTTCTCGTCTGTTATATATAATAAATTATTTGTGAATATTTATTTGTGCAATTTGCGTTCCGTCGGATTTTCTGTGCAATTTATCTTCAGTCCGTATTCACAGCAGAATTCGTCAAGGCGTTTTTTACGTACTGTAAATCATTGCTGTTATTTATCATACAAAATCATAACTTATTCAAAATTTCTCCATTTATAGATATATCCTCTATTGAACCTGCGAGCGCTTCTTTAAATACCGCTGCACTGTGGACATTGAAGAGAAGTGTAGCTGTTTACTATAGGCTGTTTTCTTACAAACTAACAAAATAGAGAAGTAATCATCAAATGCCAAATATAAGTCGGGGAAGAAAATATAGGGATGGTTAACTTTAGAATGCCACAAGAAAATAATTTCAAAACATTATTAATGTAGGGATAGTTATAGAATACGTATATTTAGATCAAAACTACCCCACAGGAGCCAACACAATCAGACAAAAAGGAATACTATATGCTTGGATAACATTCGGCGAGTGAAAAATTTTGAAGAATTTGGAATTTAATTAGCAATTAGACGTTCATTAATTACAACAATTGAAAATGTATTTACTTTATTTACGGTAAATAGATCAGAACTCAAATTGTGTGAAAAATTTAGAGCTATACATTTATTTTAAACATTGTCATAATTTTTATTTTAAATAATTCATAGAAAAAAATGAACAATTGTTTTTTTAGACAATTACTACTATCGTGAGGCAATAATAAATCGGTAAAAAATTCATATTCGGAAAAATTTAATTAATCAAGCGGTTTAGTAATTCCAAAGCAGAATATTAAAAATTATTGTGGTCGCAATTAAATGTATGTGAAAAAAACAAATTATCTATGACCGAAATTAAAATTTTATGTCGTTTGAATGATAATTTGATGGAAATACTGATTTTGTTGCTAATTTCCAATACCAGGAATAGCGTTAACGTTAATAAAGTTTGGTAGTTTAATATAGAGCCATTGGAATAAATCGTAATTTAAGGAGGCCACGAAATCGCTTATTTCTAAGGGTCAGACGCAGCATAGTCACCAATGTAAATGACGTAAACTTTTTTGGAAAAATTAGGTAAAAATAGTTTTCAATACAGCAATTTATAACGACTATTCGTTCCCTATAAATGTAAAAGTAAACAGCTAGTATCAAAACACTGCGCATTTTAAAATTAAAATTATTAAAGCCAACACACAACCAGAGAAACGACTCAATATCTTGTAAGTTTTTTGAAGACAGAAGGCAGCCAGGCTCCATACCGTCGGTCCAAGACAGATCCCTTAGGGACCCCGGCCTTCACGTCGTCGATCGTGCCCTTCTCCACCATAATTCTTCTCTCGGACAGATATTTCGCTACTATATTCATCAGGTAACCAGGAAATTCTTTCTCCTGCATTGCCTTCATTACTTCGTTCTACTGCAGCGTATTGAATGGATTCTTAACATCAAACAACAACTTGTGTCGTATCGAGAAGTTGCACGTTTGAAAAAAAAATTACAAAATATGTTAATGTGAAAATGTTTTTAAAAGAACAAATACAAATTGGAAAATCACTTTTTAGAGATAACATCGTTATATTATATTCTATATTATATAATCACATGATCTATTTGATTGCATTTATTAATTATTTTTTTAAGTGATTTGTGTAGATGTATTGTTTCTTCCATATTACGTTCCTGTGAAGCATATACGCCAATAATTGATAAATAACCTTCTTCTTATCCTTCTATCGTCCATTTTTGGACATAGGCCTTTCCAACTCCTTCCATCGATCTCTACCCTGAGCAACATACGTCCAATGTTCCGGCTATTCTTTTTATGTCGTCTACCCATCTCATATGTGGTCTTCCTCTTGATCTTCTACATTTATACGGTCTCCAATGTTGTATTGTGGCCTGCCAACTTTGGTCTTTTTGTCTAGGTGTGTGACCTGCCGAAGCTCCATTTAAATTTGGCAATTTTTTTAGTAATATCCTCAACCCTTGTTTTTGATCTTACCCAGTCGTTCCTCTTTTTATCTGACAGTCGTATACCTACCTAACATTGCTCTTTTTATTGCCCTTTCTGTTGTGGCTAGTTTGATCTAGCCTCTGACCTCCATCCAGTTTTAATCTTTTGGTTAGTATTCGTTCATTTAGCTATACCTCATCGACTTCTTTGTTTAGATCTACTCCACTGTATATTTATCATTGGGTAATCGTCTGAATTTCTAGTTTGACTACGTTTAATATTTAATATCAAATTTTACATCAAATAATGATTTTTTTCTTATAATTACAGAAATTGTACCTAATTTGTAAACTAATATTGATTTTTAATAATTTTAGATAGATGATATACTTAGAGCTAATGAATACACGCACGAGTTTCCTAAAGGCCCTGTAAAATCCTATGATTCTAATCAACTAGCGTCGAACAATCCTATAGAAGACACAAGATCAGAAGCTTCTTGCTTGCTGACAAATGGTAAGCATGTTCTGTAGGAACAAAGTATATATACACTCATGGACAAAAATATCAAATATTTTAGAATTTTCTATTTTTTTAATGTTTAATGTTTGTTTTATTGTAACTTGCAAAAAATTACTTAATGTAATGTAAATAAGGTTATTGTACTCAATTTAAACTTGAATGCTAATTAATTTAAATTGCTTAAACAAGTCTTTTTAATTGAAACAAGTACATGATTATAACGAGTATTCCCCCGTCTAGTTCCTTACTACGGCTTGCATCCTTCTCGGCATGCTTGCAAGTAAATTTTGGACATATCCTTGGGGAATTGCATTCCATTAATCCTGTACGGTAAGCCGAAGCTGCTCTATCTTATTTATAACGGGTTTTCTTTGTGGTATGCGGCATTTTAGCTGATCCCACATGTGCTCTATTGGATTTAAATCTGGGCTAAATGGTGGTAAATTTTTTATATCCAATGTAACCAACATATGACAAAACATGATCTCAGGATATTTTGAACGTAAGAGTCACTAGTCATCCGCCAAAATACTTTCACAACTACGGTGGGTCCTTCCCAACTAATACTCCTCCAAAGCATTATGTCACCACCTCCAAAACTAACAGTCTGTCCGAGATTGCAGATGGCGAATGGTTCTCCAACTCTTCTATTATCGAGGTTTCGACCATTTGGCTTCCATAATAGGTCTCATCAGTAAAAAAGAAAATTTTTTCAGTTGTCTATATTCCACTGAATATATGTTCTTGCAAATTCTAAATGACGAGCTTTATGATTTTGGACAAGACGTAGAACTTTAGGAGGGCATCTAAGCTTTAAATTTACTTCTTTTAATATTTGTCTAACTGATTTTAAACTCACATTAATTTTTCATTTATTAGCTTATTTCTGAGGTGCATCGGTGTCAATCAGCGATTTATTGTAGATCGTATAAAAAATGACCATCAGTTGCAGTTGTGCCCTTTGGGCACATCCTTGACCAGGTCTTCGTACAAATGTCTCGTGGTTCTTTTTATCCTTCTTGCCGTATTCGAAACTAGATTCACTCCTGAGAGGTCGTGCGATATTTTTTTGCGTATATCCTTTCTCGTACAAAATTACATTTTGTGTGCTTGAGTTTTATCGCAATATCAATTACTATGGTTTTTCTTTACGTTAAGAAGGTTTTTTATGATAAAATGCTCGAATAACACTAAACGCTGGATAAACGTCAAAATATTTAAAAACGATTGAGTACAGAGTAACATCAGCTTAACATATAAGCACAGAATACTCCATCTCAACAAGAAGCGACAGCTTTGTCGGAGCCTTTGATGTTGTGAGGACAGAAATTTCGGAGTAACAGTGACAATGCAACTACTTACTACACGAAGAAAAGTAATGAGGAAGTCGTTCAAAACTGTAGTCAAATTATAGTTACACTGAGAAACGAAGTAATATGTTTTCTATGAATTTTATTTTTTCTGTAAAATATAATATAACATATATCAATTTTGTACCAATAATTAAAAAGTTCTAAGTCAAAAATATCGATTTGCTTTTTTTTTAACAAAAAAATTAACGTAATAAAAGTATTTTAGTACGTTAAAAAACCGATAAAAAGCGATTGAATTTGAGAGTTAATTTCAAAATAGAGATTAAAAGCTGTCGATTTCTATTACTTTTTATCGTTTTTTTTAAGGTTAATAAAAAACTTCATCACTCAAAATCTATATTTCATTTTTACTTATCGATACATAATTATACCTTTGAAATTTCTGTTAACTTTTTCAGAAGTTGTTGATTTTTTTTGTTTCTTGTTAAGGAATTTGTTTGAATGTGAATATCTATTAACCTCCACCACGATACTTTTGCTGCGCGTAAAAACTCTGCAGCTGCGGCTAGAATGACTGTATACCCCTTTGATTTCTTTGTATGCATCTGGTGTCTCTGAAACTTCTGGTTATATATATATATATATATATATATAATATATATATATATATATATATATATATATATATTATATATATATATATATATATATATATATATATATATATATATAGAATCAATAACTCTTCTACCCTAAAGTGTTGGGTGAACTTCTGGTTGTACTGTACTAAATTCAACTCGCCAGGACATATCAAATTTATGGTAGGAAAGGGTACAAAGTTATAATAAAATAGAATAATAATAAAAATTTATTGTAATTAATATACACGTATACCCCTTCGGTTTCTCTTTCTGTGCATCTGAGGTCTCTAAAACTTCTGGTTGTACAGTACTACATTCAATTCGCCTGGATATATTACATTTGTGGTAAGGAAGGGTAAAAAATTGTAATAAAACACAATAATAATAATAATAGAAATTTATTGTAATCAATACTAATAATAATGTTTATTTGGGAAGCTTAGATTATAATATAGATTTACAAAGAAGAAGCATACTGAACACTAAATAAACATGAAAAATCACTGAAGTAGATCTACCATAAAAGTAGCACCCCTTGTGCTAAATATCAAAAAATTATTAAATTTTTCAATAATTTCTATTGTTCCCAATGCATCTGATGGAAGAATGCCAAGAGAAATATATGTATACATAGAACTTGCAACAGTGTTACTTAAATTTGAGATGCTAGTTTTACTCGCATTTTTTCAAAAAATGTAGGATATATATGGGAGTGTGTTAGTTTTGGTGCAGCAGCTTATTTTATCTTCATGATAAAAAGTTTCTATAAATGACCAAGATGTTTTTTTGTCATCAAAATAAAAAACATTATTAATTAAGTTATTTCTAGTGGCTTTAATTAAATGACATGGATCAAATATATAAACAATGTTTTGTCCATTGACATCAAATTCTCTATATCATATAGACCAACAATCTCATTACGACCTGTATCAAAAAATAAATTACTTTTAATAGACATTTCATCAATACAAATACTACAGTGCTTATAAAAGACCATTAAATTTCACAATTCCAGATCTTGTTTATATTATGAAAAACAACATACAACTTATATTAGTAGTTATTGATTTTTATATGACTTTTATAATAAAGCACTATAATTGTGAATCAATAAAAAGTATCTACCTCCTAGCCTTATGACTTTCTTTAATGGTTCGTGTTATCATTTTATATTTAGTGTGCAATTCAGCATGCTTGGAAAGCAGATCTTCCCTGTTGGCTGTTTTCAGCCATAATTCAGCTCTAAAAAAAGTGTATTTAACTGTATAACCAGTCAACATTTGTAACGCGTTTGAGTTTAAAATTTAATTTGTTTACCTGCTACGATCAGGCGGTATTGAAAAGAGACTATGTAATTCCTTCACCAGATTTCGATGGACACCCACGAAAAACACAATAAAATCCTCCCTTTCGTGCAGCCATCACAATAAGTTTATTACACAAATATATTAAATTAACTAACTAAAAATAACTAACTAAATTAATTATACAAACTACACTTCATCTAATTTATATAACGATGCACGTCATCGGCGTCATAGCCTGTGACGTCACATGATACCAGCACAAAATATTTAGGGTGTAGGTGTGTTCTTTTTTAGAATCACTTTACCGAGTACACTGGTATTACAGCCACTAGACATATTTTATAATATACGCGTAGAAATAATCTTTTAAAATTTCTATTAATGTTAACTTAAAGAAATACACAATAATATGTTTCATTTCATTTGTATAAATGCATTATAAAGCGTTTTTATCAAGAATATTTGTTCGGAACATACTGTAACTGTAATCGAACGAAGGTAAAATTTTGGCATAAATTGGTAACACTTATTTGACAGTTGCGATGTTGACACTTTTTGTACTTCATTATTTTGAATTTTAAAGTGAATATCTCTTGTTTTATATTTTTAACTATTTAATAAAATCTGTTCTTTTTAGAACAAAATTAGTGTGTTTTATTTCAAAAATGTCACGTAAGAATTTAAATAGTCGTTGTAAAGAGATGGTAATACTTTTGCAATAATTATGTAATCTATTTGATTTAAAATGGAGTCAGGATTTTTTATACTTTGGCAACTATGTCAACTTCGATCTCTGACGTAGATAATGACGTAAGTCGTTATCTAAATTAGATGAAGTATATTAAAAAACAAACACCAAACACTTCTCAATAAACAAACTTCAATTTTTAGGTTGACAGCGAAACTAATTAAAACATGGCGGATTCGCACATGCGCAAAGAAATTTAGATTGCGAAAAAGCCCTCCGTTTCGCTTCTTGTTGGAATGGTGTATTCTGTGATATAAGTAACATCAGTAATGTAAAATTATTTTAAAATAAGAGTGACTACAAAAAAAAATCCCAAAATATTCGATATTTTTGTCCTTGAGTTTACATATACGTTATATCATTGATCGGCATTTTTTTACCTAAATTCTTATCCATATTTATGAGCGATGCGGTTAGGTCGTCGAAAAAGGCGAGAAAAACAATCTCAATGATAGAATAAGTAAAAGATTAACTAAACTAAAAAATTTTAATTTAGCATAATCAGTGTTATAAAAACACAAATGGAGTCGAAGGATAGAAATTTGGCGAAACACTACTTTAATTTGGCTTTTGATCGTGACACTTTTGTATAAAAACCCGTCCTTTCATTAAACTCCACCGAGAAGTCATGTGTTCTTCATAAAATCCAGCATTCTCTTATGGGTATTTGAAGGATTTCTCCCGATTCAATAATTGTTTTGCCGGATCTCATTGTTGAACATCGTGTGGATATTCAGCACATTCAGTCAATACCCCGATTATATTTCTTTTCTCTGCGTACTATACCATTCGATCTCATACATGGAAGTCATTGTTTCCGGCTTTGGTTCATTCGAGCTTAAAGTTCTACCTCGTTCTTCCTCGATACTTTATTTTGCTTTCCAATGTGGTGACAATGTCATTTACAAATTTCCATTTTTGGCCTCTGGAAAGTACGCTAGTATACCTTTGGATTTAGAGAGTTCTTCAGCGGTTACAAGTTTTCACTTCGTTTATACTTCGAAAACGTCCATTGTGACCTTAAAGAACTCTTCTTCGGCACAAATAAACATAAAGTATCGGTCCATAAGTCGATTTCTTTCATATCGAGGAGTAATCGATCTTTATCGATAAATTTCATTAGGGAATATTTTACGAGCACTATTTAATTCTAGGACACAATTTTGTCTAGTTAGTCCTTCTGACGACGTGGCCATCATCTCGCCCCTGGCATTTCCCAAACCTAGCCCTTAACTTTTCGAACAAAGCGCGGGTTACGTTATCCATTTTTTTACGAATCTTCTTCTTCTTCGTGTAACACGTCCTTTTAGAACGTTGGTTACTATCATAGCTATATTAATTTTATTCATTATTACTCTAAATAGCATGCTTGTTCAATACCATATCAATCTCGTAAGTTCTTCAACCAAAGTTCTTTCTTCGTCCTGGACTGCGTTTGCTTGCTATTTTCCCTTGCATATTTTGTAGCAATCTATATTTGGGACCTCCCATTACATGTCCGAAGTACTCAAGCTTTCTCTTCTTTATGCTTTTTATAATCTCAGTAGTCTTGCTGAGACGTTCTACTATTGTGGAGTTCCGAAAGTTCTCCATTCTAGTATTGTTGCTGATTTATTTATGTAATCTTGACCTTATAAATCTTAATCAGCTAGAGTTCGGTCCGGACTTCGAAGAGACCATGTAATATGTCCTCTATGCGAGATCGTTTTCTTAAGTAAAGTTTTTTTTTAACCACGGGTAGATTCTCGTTGCTCGTCACAGTCACATAATAATCGGGTTTATTTTCAGAAGAACGGGCCGTAGTAGAGTATTTGTCTACCGGTAAAACAGAAAAACTTTCACGTCAATATTGCTTTTAGATTAGTACCTGTGATCTGCTTCAAATGCTACAAAGTATACAAAATTGAACATTATTATTATTAGTATTATTTACACCGTTGCTTGAGACGTTGTTTATTTATTTCTTGTTTTTTAGGTTTCTTATTTGGTGTCTTCGATGGACACGGTGGCAGTGCTTGTGCACAGGTCATAGCTAAACGCCTGTATCACTACTTGGCCGCTTGTTTATTACCTTACGATAATTTAGTTACATATATAAAATCCCTTTTGGGGCCCCAGCCACAAGAACTTATACAGAGTTATAATGACAAAGTTGAATTCGTCGATGATATTCGGCAGTTGTATAGTGACAGTTTTGCCAAATTTCTTAAAGATCTGTCAGAAGTAAGTTTTTTTGTACTTTTTTTACTAATTCATAAAAATTTCTAAAATTTCTTAGATTTAATTTTAATTTAATAAATGAAACGACTAAAATATTTGGACATAATCTTCTACCGGTATACCGTTAAATTTTTACTCCGTAAAAATTTTTACTCTAGGGTAAAATAAAATTTTAAGGTTAAATTTTTGCTGTACGTTAAAATTGTACTCTCTTTATCCTATGTTGAAAAATTGAGTCTAATGAGCATATTTGTGTAGGTAGGTAAATGTCATTTTCTTGAATTTACTAAATGTTTTATAATAATATATTTATTTATAAAAAAAAATAATAAAAAAAACAAAATCAACTTAAAGAAGCTCTGAGGAATTTACTACCAATTAAAATTTTTGAAAATTACTGAAGAAATTATTACATACATTTTGTGACCGGACAATTTTATATGCACGCAAAAAAATAATCACTCTTTTACAATATCTCCACACGAAATGCAAATTTTTTTTTGCAATATTATGTCTAACTGTATGTAACAGATTACCACAAGAACGGTTATACTGGTAATTAGATGAGGTAATAGGAGTTTCCTGTGTTTAAAACGCTATGAGCAGAGACAGGTCCTTATAAATAAAAAAAAAGTTTGTTCGTCTAGTGGATAATGCCAAAATAGGCGATTATAAAGATCGTATGTTAAAATTAAACTTTTAGCATATAAAATTATAGAAAAATTCTGCCAGTGGGATGTTTTCATAAAGATATATCCATAGACGAATCCATGGTGAAATATTGCGGCCACAACCCAACAAAACAATTTATTGGAGGGAAGCCAGTCAGATTTGGATATATAAGAATTGGATGATAACTGGTTCCACTGGATATTGTTATGGTTTTGACGTTGATTATAGAAAAAACCAAATGATACTGAAAATACTAAAGGAATACCTCTTAGAGCTAAAGTAGTTACCTATTGATCTTTTGAAATACCTGCCCGAACAATCTAGAAATGAATTTTTTTTCAATAATTATTTCACAACATATTAACTAATGATATATCTGAAAGAAAAAAAAACATAAAGGCGACAGGAACTGTAAGAGAAAATCGATTGCAAAAATGTCTAGTGAGGGAGTCTAAACTTCTTCTTACGGAGCCTATCTGTTCCGGATGTTGGCGATCAGCATAGCTATCCTAACTTTACTTGCAGCTATTGGGAATAGTCCGGTTGTAGATGTGTTGAACCACTACCTTAGGTTTTGAAGCCAAGATATTGTTCTTCTCCCTGGCCCTCTCTTTCCAAATACCTTGCCCTGAAGAATGAGTTGCAATAAGCCATATCTGTGTTCATTTCTCATAAGATGGCCAAGATATTCTAATTTGCTCTCTTTGTGTTAGTGATCTCGCATTCCTTGCTATTTGTACGTAGGACCTCAATATTAGTCACACGATTCACCCATGAAATTTGCAAGGTGCTCCTGTAACACCACATCTCGAAGGCCTCGAGCTTTCCTAAAGAAGCTTCAGAGAGATTTTGTTACTAAGTGGTAAATCGTGACTTCTGAAAAGAGGCTTTATCTTTAAGAGCGCTGATCTTGCTTTCTCTATGCGTTGTTTTATTTCAGTAGAGTGGTCCCATTGACTGTTGGCTTACCAATATATGTGTATTTAATATTTCGCGCTTACTAACTACCATGTACTTTGTTTTGTTCTTATTGAGATCCAGCCCATACTCTCGACCTATATCTGATACGCGCGACATTATTGTTTGTAAACCATCTAGACTATCTAGACGCAAAAACTACTGCGTCATCAGCATATCTAATGTTGTTTAGACGCACTCCGTTAATTCGCCTTCCTGTAGTTTTCCCAGTGCTTGCTCGAAGATACGCTCCGAGTACATGTTAAATAGCTCTGGAGACAGAATGCATGCTTGTCTCACTCCTCTATCTATGGAGATTGTCTCTGTCAACTGGTCATCCAGTTTAAGGTTGGCAGTTTGGTTGTTATATAAATTATATATAATTCGCAATTATCTATCATCCAAGCCCGCTTCTTTTAAGATGAATAGATGTTTACTCTATCAAATGCTTTTTGTAGTCGATAAAACAAATATATACATGACAGTTGACATCCCTGTACCTCTGGATAAGCACCTGTATAGCGAATAGAGCTTCTCGGGTGTTTACGTTAACGCGGAATCCAAATTGTGTCCATTACAATAATTGTTCTTCACATCTTTTATATATTCTGTTATGTATCACTTTTAAAAACGTTTTAAGTAAGTGGCTTATTATGCTAATTATTCTGTAGTCTTCGCATGTTTTGCATTTAATTTTTTTGGTATAGTTACGAAGGTCGACTTTAACCAGCTTTGGGCAAGATTTCCAGTTATATCTTGTTTGTTAAATATAGTCGTTATACATTTTACTCCTTGCTCGTCCTTAAGTTTCAGGAATTCTGTATAAACTTTGTCAAGTCCTACAGCTTTATCATCTTTAGTTTTTCTAATAGCTGCCGTGACTTGTTCAATGGTAATCGGGGGTCCTTTGACTGATGTAATGCTGAATAGTCTGACCCCATACCTAATATTCTCCATGCTTCTTTTTGACAAACTAATTTCAGAGCAGATTATTCCACTTCTCCTCTAAATCATTCATTAGCATACATCTTCACCTACTTATCCACATATCATCACTTTTTCATACTGTTTTTACTACACCAAATTTTACCCATCAACTTTCCCTCAGGGTTTGGTTTCAAATCTCTGGAGACTTCACCCTCTTGTAGAGTCTTATCTCTTTTCACAACAATATTAAAACATCACATATCTTTAGTTAAATTTAACAGAGCCACCTAAAACCCAAATACTCTTGCAGTTTTTACATATCTTTACAATACACACCGAAAGTCTATTAACTTCATCTACCTACCTTAAGCTCAAAACTTATAACTCATCCTTTTTATATTTCTCAGGTACCAAATGTTCCTTTTAACATAAAGGGCCTTTTTTCTTTTTTCTTAAGCTATAACTTGAGCAATGTATGAACAATAGAATACAAAACCACCTTTCAGCCATCAATTTTCTGTTTGTCTTTCATACTTGTCAACACACAAAAACAACTTACCACCTTTATTCTTCACACCGAACCAGTAATTATGTTCATGAACTTATAACTTAAAAAATATTTTATATTTACCAGGTACCAAATGTTGTTTTTTGACATAGAGGACCTTCCATGCCTAAGTTGTAAGTTAAGTGCAACCGTAATTTGCACTGACTGCTTTGTTCCGACATATGTCCTAACATGTCAATATTGTCATTTTTATCAGTTGTTATCAACCGGTCCTCGAAGACACTTTGTCTCAGGACCATGTAACCTATGTAGTCATACGTCGCCATGTTACCAATTCCAACAGTAACTTGAACATCTTAATTTTTAATAATATATAATGTAACAAAACGTTAAATTAACAACATTTAACGGGTTTTTACCCATATATTTTAGTGGCTCACCGCATGTATACTTCGTAAGTATTAACCACATTTTGCATAACCTTAGTCAACATTTCAAATTGTACGTTCTTTTTAATTAAAGTGGTTATATACTTTCAGGTTACACTGATGATGGAATTTACATTCCGAAAACGTTCTGTAATGTAATTGTAATATAGCCCGTTTGGGTATTTTATTATATACCTTTTATAAAAGATTTGAAATAAAACAAATTTTTATTAAAATTTTACTCTAGAGTAAAAATTTAACAGTACATCGGAAACTACTACATTGGAAAAATCTTTTAGTGTCTATTTTCTATGAATCACGTACCTGATAGCCCTATTTACCGCTAACCTGAACAGGCTATTAGATTCCATTTCGGGTTACTGCCTAAGATTCTTAAGCCATGAGGTTCTTGTAACACGTCCGTGTTTACCCTCGATATTTCCTTGTATTATTAATTGAAGAAACAAAACCACATGCCACTGTAACATATCACATCATCATCATTGTATATACTTACTTAAGTTTCTGGGTCTATGTTTCAATGGTCTTTGTTTTCACACGCCCGCATACGATATGTAGTGTTGTGAAATCAGAGATTACTTCCACGGCAACCATTGAGCCTGTCATCCATATAGAATGAACATACATAAGCTAACCTTTGAGCTTCTCGAAATTTTTCCTCGTGATGCTTAGACTGATTCTACTTTACCAGGTCACTGCCATATAAGGGAAGGTTCGTACCACTGTTGCGGGGTACATTCACCTCAAATTTCTGGTTAAATTACCGTTTTTTCTCTCAAAGTTTCTGCACATAATTCTGTGGCCTAGTTTACTATCTAGGATGAAGCTTAGATATTTAACCTCTTTTTCTCCACTCAACTATGTTCCGATCCATTGTGACGGTTTTCCGATTGCTTCCTTTTCTTTATAAATGCTATGTATATAGTTTTAGTGGGGTTACTCATCCCATCTTTTTGCACCATGTAGTTATATAATTCAGTACTGTCTTAGTTATGTCACAAAGAATGTTTTGCGAACTTTCTCTTCGTATTTATGACAATGTCATCGACTTATGCGTGACAGGATACACCGACGCTTTTCTATTCGTGTGCGAAGCTGTACCATTCACTTTTGTGTTACTCTTTATCTCTCTGGCATTCAGTTTTATTATGGCTGTTTCGTGTGGAGTCTTATCAAACGCCCCTTGTACATGTAGAAAGGAACACAAAGGATATTTCTTGTTTGCTCAAATCATCCTCTATGTCTATTCACAATTTGTTTCGTCGTTTTTAATGAAAACGATTTTAGGTCTGATTTAGGCTACGTCCAAGATAAGAGATTCGTTTTGTTTGTGGCGGAATGACATCATTAACTGATTACTGTAAAAATTCTCGTATCTGTGCAGAGTTGTTAAATAAGTGGTAGCAAAAATTCTACAGATCTGTAATTTTTGTATTTTTAATGTTATAGCTATTACAAACTAAGACTCTTTTTCAGAACCAGTAGATGTAACGCCAGTAGACATTATCATTTTATCAATTATTTATTTTGCGGTCTAATCTACTGTATTGTTTTAGAAAGGTCCTGTTTCAAATGCTGAATTACAACCCGCTATAGAACAAGCGTTTGCGAGATTAGATAAGGACATTTCTGACGAAGCAATACCTAAAGAGAATGAACCTCTTAATCTGAAAACGATGTCGGTAGCTATGTCAGGAGCAGTAGTTTGTGTAGCTCATATAGATGGTCCCCATTTACATATTGCAAATGTTGGTGATTGCTGCGCAGTATTAGGTAATATCTTTCTTCCTGTTTATTCAACATTAATAATTTTGTGGACAATATCATTTACCTATTCTAGGTAGTAAAGCAATTATGATATCGTAACCAAATTATTGCTTGATGTCAAAAGTAAATATTTTTGCACCAAAGGGCTGTCCCTAGAGGCCCTGATTTTTGTTATCCTTGCCGTAGCAATCCTCCTCAGTCCGTTATCCTACACAAGGATATGGTAACGCATGATGTTTGATTGACCATTAAATTGTATTTATTTTGAGCTTTGGGAGATGCTTCAGGAAGGGAGAGTCTCGTTATTTGTTTAATTTTCAGATCACCGTGAAGGAAATCTGCCTCTTGATCTTATACCTTCGATTCTACCTTTAACGATCAGTCTTCCCGTGCCCTCGTTTGTACGATGTGCTGCCCATGTAATTCGTAATATCCTCCTGTATACCCATATCTCAAAGGCGTTTTGTATCAGCTTTCTTGATGGTTCACGTTTTTGAAGTATATTTTGCACTAGGGAATATCCGTGCACGTGCGTGGCGAAGTTTCCTGGCTTTAGTTTTATGTGTGTGTCAAGATTATCTTCAGTTGCTGTTGCAACTGTTCTATACTAGCTGTTTCTGAGCTAATATGAGGGTGTTAACTGCGTATCTTAGGTTACTAATTTTACGTCCTCCCACTGCTATTCCTCCATCTCTGTCATCGAAAACTGTTTGCATGATATGCTCACTATATACAGGGTGTATATAGTGAGCATAACAGGGTGTGTCACAACGAGCTTACACTAACTATATATCGGAACCTACTTACACGATATTAATGAAAATTGGATTATAAGGATCAGAAGTTATGACGAATTCAAAGAAAATATTTTGACAGACGTGCCACTTCAGGTTATACTAGAAGTGAACAGCAACTTTGTTATTTTTAATGAAACACCCTGTATATTATTGCATTTTTAGATTCTGCATAAAATTCTAGACAAAATTTGTATAAAGTATCATAGGTCAAAACTTCATATTTTTTGAGTTATTTATCTTTTATCAAAAATTTGGACAGATGGAGACGACAAACTTTTTAAAGTTAATAGTTCATCCACATTTCAAATATAATGTTTTTAAACTTTTATAACTTTTGTACACAAAAAATAGGTAACGTTCTTTCAAAAATTTACATCCAAATTGAATTCAACAGTTGTCTTTCAAATAGTATTAGGGTTCCTATACCTAAAGTAGATACTGTTGGACATAATTGTCGTTTAATGTTAAAGATATATTTATTTATTGATATTTATTGTTATATTTTAGCAAGCCGTGAATATGCTATAATTGTCATTATTTGTGGTCATTGGCACTTTTACAAAGTGATTACTGGATCGACAAGTCGGCATGCAAGATCGGAGCATGCTTTAAAAACTCACACAACTGACATTTCAAACCAGTAGCGTTACGCGCTAGCTGTAATTTATTTTATCTTTGATACCTCGCTGAACAAATTCCCCTTCGTTGGCTCAGTGAAGATGTTCGTTCAGTTGTAATGGAAACACAAAATAATAGTAGCAGAGTTTATTGACGAGACGTACACTATGGGTGTTGATCCGGGATTACTTTGAGTAGAGACTGTTGCAGTGGAGCGTTGAAGACTATCACGTTTGTTGAGTGAATATTGATTGAATGCTTCTCTAGAGAAGAGATTTTAGTTTTATATAAGTTTTAATTGGGTCAATATATTCGCGGACCTAATGACATGTGTATCTAAGTTGTGTGTAAATTGTTTAACTTTCGTCAGCACTTTCGACTGATGTCCAAATTTTATTGTTGATAATTGACCAAATCTAATGTAACCTAATTAACTACGTGTGTGTATTTAATAACAAATAAATTCATTCGGTCTATTGGGTGATAAAATTATACTGTCCAATTTCGGATATAAATTCTGAAGATTTGATATTGGACACTCGCGTTTTAACAGCTAGCAACCCTAATTTTCGACCATTTTTTCTCAAGCAAACTTATATCATTATATTAAGAAAAAAATAAGCTTTAGTTTGATATAATAAAGAACATGCATATATTTCATTAGCCGTGTATTTTATTAAAAAAATAAATGAACGAAATAAAATTGAAGTGGGATCTTGGACTACACATAATTACCCTAACAACGTTATTGCTTATGCTACTATGATAAATTTTATGAATTTTTAAAAATATTTAGATTGAGAATACGATAGCAAAATAGTAATATCAAATTTTGTATGCACCGTGCGCATTAATAGATGTATATACCCTCGTGCATTAAGATCTACTTAATGCCCTTGGTACATAAATAATGATTACGCGATCAGAGACAACCAGGTTGTAGCTCTCCACTTTTATGATGGTAACTTAAACTACTTTTTTAGGTAAAAGATATTTTAATATATTATTATTAACTTTAGGTATAGGTAATCCTAATACTATTTGAAAGACAACTAATTTTTTCTTTATTAAAATTATAAAATACACGGTTTTATTTACAGTTATTAACTGACTAGTTTGAAGAAAAAAATGGCATATTATTTGTGAACACCCTGTATTTAGAAATTTGATTTTGATGTAGAATGTTACCTAGTCTTTGTGTGCAAAAGTTTTTACGATATTATTATTATAAATGGATTAGATATTAACTTTCAATTGTTTGTCTTTAACTGTCAAAATTAAAAAAAAAAAAGATGAATAATTTAAAAAATATAAAGTTTTGACCCATGGTATCTTATATAAATTTTATCTAGAATCTTATACAAAATCTAAAAATGTAGTAACATACAGAGTGTTCCATGTAAAATAAAAAAGTTGCTGTTCACTTCCGATGTAACCGGAAGTAGCAAGTCTGTCAGTCTGTCATAGCTTGTGATCCCCATAGACCAATAGTTTCCGATATATTGATAGTATAAGCTCGTCGTGAAACGCTATATATATATATATATATATATATATATATATATATATATATATATATATATATATATATATATATATATATATAATATATATATATATATATATAATATATATATATATATATATATATATATATATAGTAGCAATGGCGACAATACACATCCTTGGCGGACCCCGCACCCAACTTAAACTGATCAGAGTAGATATTATTTATTCGTACTAAACTGATCAGAGTAGATATTATCTATATTATTGTTTATATAAAATTTCTTCCGAAATTTGGTAACAGAAACACTTTTAGCCTTTCATTAATGTTTTTAATGAAAGGGTATAAAAGGGTAATTTTATTTCCATATGATATTAGAAATATTATCTGTAAGTAGTACAATCTGTTGGGGTTCCTTTTTTTATAGATTGGAATAAACACAAATTTACACCAATCAGATGGCCATTTTCCTATATTGGATATCTCTGTACATATAATTTGAATAACGTTCATTCCGTCTTTCTCCATGACTATTATTGTCATAGCAATATCCTGGGAAATAGAACAGTGTGTGGTTCCTGTTGCCTTCACTGTTTGGAGTGCAGCTCCTTCTAACACGAGGACAGACGCTGTTTGCCACAATGTATTAGATGCTGTGTAAAATGTATTTAAACCCCATTAATAAATTGATATAACTGGAATAAAAAAGTACCCGATACAATGCTTTAACGTAACTAAAGCATTTGCGAACCTCTGACATATAACGATTTTTAGTATAGTGTTGGTAACCTTTGAGCTATTGACCCTTTCTTGGACCAAGAGAAATCTATACCAAGTTTCAAGACTCTAGCGTATTTGCTTCTATAGTTTTGTACCGATAGACAGACACATAATAACATGGTTTCAGAAAGAACCTGGATCGGGTTCTTTATATAATTGTATACAAAATTATATAAACATGTGCTTTTCTTTCTTGTACTCGTTTAATAGACAGTCAAAATTTCTTGTATTCTTCGAACCATGAATCATCTTATAGTTTATGTTCAATTATATTCTCTAATAGTTCTATTTTTGTTGCAGGTACCCTTTCTGAATCAAACTCATGGGTGGCGAACAAATTGACAGTTGAGCACAATACATATAACCAACCCGAAGTAGATAGAATAATCAAAGAACATCCTTACAACGAGGCCCTTTCTGTCATACGAATGGATAGATTATTAGGTCATTTGGCTCCTTTGCGAGCCATGGGTGATTTTAGGTTAGTATATCGTATTTTTACACAAAAATAACAATATTTATGTTCAATGCACATAGATATATGAAACCTTCAGTTAAAATATTCCTTTATATATATATATATATATATATATATATATATATATATATATATATATATATATAATTTTGTTATTTGACAGGTTTAAATGGAGTAAAGAAATAATGAATAATGTGATAGCAAAACATTTTGGTAAACATATAGTAATTCCTCACTATCATACTCCTCCGTATTTATCTTCCGTGCCAGAAATTACACAACACAGACTGACCCCAAATGATAAATTTCTAATAATAGCTACTGATGGATTATGGGACATGATGACTCCGTTACAAGCAGTTAGATTAGTAGGTAAGTCCGTGTAATAATTGTCAATAATATTAACAATTTAAAAGTTTTGCAAAAATGGGAAATTAATGATTTGCGGGAGTTCTGAAACTATTTTCTTGTATCACATTTTACTTTTTAATTCATATATTTAACAATTAACTGGTATTACAATATTGGAAATATTTTAGTCAATGTTTCGACTTCTTATTGATCGTTATTAGCGACTTCTGTATTCGATTAAATATAATGTATTTTGAGAACGATTTTCAAAGTGGAAATCGATACCTTAGGGTAAAAGGCCTTATTCTTAAGATTTTAAGCACCTTATCAGTCTTCAACAGCGTTGATCCTCACCTTCAATTTACATATGAATTGGAGGTTGATAACAGCATACCGTTTTTGGACATGCGAATCATACGCACACATAGTAACATATTGGGCACTACGTGGTACGGGAAAGAAATGGCGAGTAACCGGTTCTTAAATTACCACTCTACACACCCAATGAGATACAAACATAACCTTGTACAATCTCTTAGCTTTAGAGTACACACGTTGACCCATACGCGGTACAAGAGGGAATATTTGGATTTACTCAAATCCATCCTCATTGATAACTCACCCCATATCCGTCATCAACAGATATCTTTTCTCTAAAAGCTACGGCCATTCTATTTCTGAAGCACCTAACGGTGCAATACTAGCCTCCATATCCAATAGCTTACAGACTGATAATTCCCCGTTAACCCCAAAACCAACCACAAAATATACTTCTCTTCCATATTTCCCACAAATTACGAACAAGCTTACTAAACTATTCAAAAACTTACCCATCAAAATATCCCTAAAAAACACTAAAACCATTGGAAAGTTATTCTCCAAGTCCAAAACTCCACTAACTCCACAACATTAGTGTGCTCCACGTGAGCACACTAATGTTGTCTATCAGATCCCCTGTTCTGAATGCAATTCCTGCTACATTGGCCAAACCAGTCGTTCACTTCTAGGGCGTATAACTTTCATAACACATAACACATAAAAGCGACATTAGACTTTCCAAACCCTCTTGTGCCCTTGCACAACACGCCATTTCCACCAAACATCACATTGACTTCTCAAATACTAAAATACTGGCGAAACAAAATAATCATCAAAAACGCTCCTTTATTGAAATATGTGAGATCCTAAAAAACCCATCTGCAATAAACAAAAGAACCGACATCGACAATTTGAGCCAGGTTTACCACTCCCTCATCTTACGAAATAAATAATACCAATATTCATCATTTAAAATAGCCTTATTTTCCCAAAACAATAACATAATCATCCCAGATCTCTAGTTTCATTAAAACATAAATTACAAAAAAAAAATCATATCAAATTTTTCCGTCATACAAATCCACCCGTCCAACTAATCTTTCAATGACCCCCGTAGAAGTTCATAATTGTCTCAAACCTTGGAATTTGTTGAACATATCGCCCTTGGAAAAAAATTTCGGTATCGCGTCACGTCGTTTAGCATAGATTGCAATAAATCAGTGTTTTGTTTGTCTTCATTCAATCATGTCATCAAATCAAAGAAGCAGCACTTATCTGACTAAAAGAAAAAGGTGTAGCAAACTCATCAATAAAATGTAGCAGGTTCTGGTTGATAATACTGGAAGATGAATTCAGCAATAAGAATATACCAACATTAATAAGTTAATAGGTGAGAAATACATTATCTATAATGAACTACAAAAACACAGAAATATCAGAATTTGATTTCAATCCGAGGGTACAACATCACCGCTCAGAATTTCACTCAAAATTTAGCCATTTGCCTACAAGATCGAGGCCTAGTAAGTCAACTGTCAAGTTGATGTTGCCACCCATCGCCAATTTATAAACATTTGCAGGTTAAATCTAATAATTTCATAATTTTGAAATTTCTTTTGAAAACGATTTCCGGATTAGAAATGGAAACGTCAAAACAAATGTAAAATGTAATTCTCATTACAATTAATTGTGGTTTAATCCCATATAAAATAACATTTAACTTGCCACAGGAAGACAGTTTCAGAACCTCTTTATACAATTGATTCACTTTATTTATTAGTTATTGTTTTTACTATACGCTTAATTTCCGGTAATTTTTATGTGTAATGTGCTATTAAACAATATATTACTTAATACATTTTATTTTTATAGGAGAACACATGAAAGGTAAAGTCACATTGAACCCGTTGAAGCTTCCTAGAAAAAACATGAAAATGAACGAAATCAACGAATTGCTTCTTCAACGCAAAGAAGGTCTGAAAACTAAACCCAGAGACTCAAACGCTGCCACTCACCTTATACGTAACGCTTTAGGAGGTACCGAATTCGGAATAGATCATAATAAAATCACGCAGTTGCTGACGTTACCGGACGATGTAGTTAGGGTTTTTAGAGACGATATTACCGTTTCAATTATATATTTTGATTCCGAATATTTAAGACACTGCACTACTTGAGAAGTCACTCTTAATTTTGGCGTACAGACAAATTAAATGTAAATATTTATTCGTTTAGATGAATTTTACTTGTCGCAGACTTGTTTATTAATTGTGTGAATTTTGTATATTGTCTACAAAACGAATATTCTAATGTTTGATATTACGTTTTGACTTTAACGCTATCATTAGCTGAAATGTTCAAATTAATTACGAAAATTTACAAAAAAGACGTGATAATATTCAGTTAAGAACTGAAAATCGTATGTAGTATTTTCAAATTAAGTGGTAAACTCTTTTATATTTTTCTGGTCGTCTCTACGATCAAATTTTTTACCCCTTACACCTGCTCACACATTTTTTAGTATCCAAAACTGAACATATGCGTCTCATACACACTCCAATATACATTTGTTCTATCTACAGTCCTCGATTTTTACTACTTGTCCGGCACAAATATTAAGCCGTAAGGTTGGTTGTGCTTTCCAGTAGGTTGGTAACTCTTTTAGTTTCATTCGTATAAACTAATATGTAAATGATGTGCTACTTAACCCTTAAAAAATTTCGCTTTTAACAGAAGAAGAAATTCGAAAAACAATAAAGAATAATGGGGAACAACAAAGCTATTCCGCTTCCAAATCGTACGTCGGAAATCGAACATTGAGGTCTATAAGACCATCATTAGACCAATAGTGTGTTGTGGACGTGAGACGTAAATTTTAAGTTGTTGACAGAAAAATTACACCTAAATATTCAGTCCATGATGGATAGAGAGACTAAAATGTTTTCACCGTTTGTAGACTACATCTTTGAGGAGAAACCATTCAAAATTTTCTTTCATTGTAACCTAGCATTCACAGCAATACATATTTGCGATAATATATACAGATCATGTCATGTACTTCTTTAAAACCATTGATAAAAAATGATCAAAAATCAAATGACAGAAATAAACGTCTATCGCTCACAACCATTATATTATCTGATCTAACAATCATCTACTAAATATTTCAAAGCCTTTGTATGCGTGTTATATACAGAAACAACAAAATTTTTCATCTTCGATACTAAAAGGTATTTCTCTTGTCAGATCCCTCAACGACAAGCGTACCAAAACAAAATTCTTAATGAAATACGTGATATTGATGATCCAAAAAGAAAATTAAAAGTGATCGAAAGAAAAATTCTAAGGATGATCTTTGGACCGATCACCGATATGGAAAGATCTAGATTCTTATTCTTATTGTGCCGTCTTCTCTCAAAGGTTGGAGATCACTTCTTTAAACGCTTCCCTATCTTTTGCACCGTGAAATATCTGTTCAACACTGAGGTTAGTCTAATCTCTCATATTTCCTAGCCAAGATTTCTTCTTTGTTCCCAAGCATTTTCTTCCCTCTCCTCTTACTTGCATGATGACGTGCAGCAGAGAGTATTTATCGTTTCGAAGTATATGGCCCAGAAACGATCTTTGTCTTATTTTAATTATGTTCATAAGCTTTTTGCCGTGTCCAATTTGTCTTAACACTTCATCGTCCGAGACCTTTGCAGTAGACATACTCATTTGTAGACATTAAGTTGTATTTTATAAATCCTTTTCAAGCATTTCAATTCTGACCTTCATCTCCTCATCTTGCAGACCGAGGTATTTATACTTGTCGTTCCTCCAAGAGTTTATCCTCGAATTTCAGATATATGTTGTCAACAGGGGTTTTCTAAATCACCGTGTGTTTACTTTTTAAAATTTACTGTTGAATGTTGATCTTCTTCTTTTGCTTTACATGTAGCTACATAGACGGTAAATAAATAGAAAAAGTTTTTTAAAACGTATGAGAAATATCTATCATTTATTAAAACTTTAAAACAAGCATTAAGCGTGTGGAGGGGAAGATAAAATATTACAATTTTTACAATCAAAATATATCTCTTATTTCTTTGTATCTTCTAATATAAATTATCACTTTTCATTTGTATAGCGAACAATTTGAACTAAAATTTCATTTACCATTTCACGATAGAAATGATTCAGACGAAATAATAATAATGTATTTGTCTTTTTCGCTCGTCTAATTACAGAAACATTTAAATTTCTCTTATCATATTTCTGTCAATCAAATATTTAATTTAGCCTTTGTGAACTCTCAATAAAAACCGTTACGTGATATTTTAAGTAATTTTGCTGTTTCAAACTGTGTCTAAAAGTATCTTAATTAATTTTAGCTGATTTATTTTTATTAAGCCAATCCGCCACTGGCGTGCATCTCATTTTAAATACATGGTGATATTGCTACACTACCAAATCAGTGTGTATAAAATTATAAAAACAGCATAGGAAACGTAAACATTGTTTTTAATTCCGTTTTTCGGGGAAATTTTATTTTGGTCAAAAAAGCACTTAACCGAATCATTAAGAGTATAGCCAGGTTTATAAACGGACATAGTACATAATCATAAGTCATAAACATAACTTTAACCACAATCATAATTCACAAGATTTAAGATTGGTTTATAACTAGACATAATACCTAACCATAATATTTAAAAACTACTTCAGAAAATACAAACCTAACCAAATTTTTATAGATCTTGAAGAATTTTTTCTGGTCTTTAGATTCATGGAAAAGTGAAATAATTTTAAATAAATATGAAGATTAATAGAAAAGTTGCTTTGGCCATGGCAGCAGTCCCACTTTATTTAACAATTGTAGCGACTATATCTGCCAGAGTTCTTAACAAGCAAAGAAGAGTAAGAAGGTATAGTGTAAGACCCATAAATAGAAAGCATGGTAAGGAATGGGATGAGGAACAGTTCTTTAATTTTTTACGTAGGATTACACATGCGCATATTCCAACAATTCCATAATGTTTAATACTTAATTCATAAATGTTGAAAGTTACCAACTTTGAAGGTCACGTTTTAAGGACTAAATTTATGTTTTATGTATTAGGAATGCTTTTAAATGGGTACATTTATTTATTAACTTTCAACATTATGCTTATATAATAAGACTAAAATTATGTTTATGTCCGTTTATAAATCCGACTTATGAATCAAATTTACATTGTCATTTTAAATGCTTGTTATGAACATACGTACCTTTTATTCAAAATAGATATTTTTATTCTTAAAATGATTTACGTTAACTTATTACATCTGTCAACTATTAATAACATCATTTCTATAAAAATCTCGAATTATCAAGCACTAAATAATTTGCCTATATTGACATAAACATGGGTTCGATGTCATGGGATACAGAGCAACCACATATACTCTGTGAGTTCTATGAGGATTTTAAACCAATTAAGCTCTGTTCAATTTTCATGTTACTAAGATAGACTTTTAAAGAATTTATATTTATTAATAAAATTAACTTTGTCATAAAAAATATGTTAAAACATAACAAAAACTTTCCTTTATTCGATGTTCGTCAAATATATTTTAACAATTTTCAAACCCAACCTCAATATAGCTTTATAATATAGATAATATTATAAGTTTAAAAATTGGTTAAATTAGTCATTCCAAATCGTGCGAAAACAAGTATTAACTATTCATAAAACAAACGAACGTATCAATAGTATGATCGCAGTAATAATTTAAAAAATCAAATAAAATTTTTATTATAGTCCACCCAAATTTGATTATTAATAATGAAAAATAATTATCCTTTATAAATGTTTGCATAAATGCTATTGTAAAAAGCAAACTGCTGTCTTGCTATTTAACTGATCAGTAAAAGTATAGTGAAAATATGGGTTTTTTTAAAGAAACGCAGCAGCTGTTCTGAATCAGTTGAGAGACAGGATCAAAGATCCGAAGCTCGGATCAGTTTACTTTCTGAGTTGAAATCTGTTTGTTTTGTAATGCTACTACTAATTTTGACTATCTTCACCTATTGGTTTTATGCCTAATTATTGTTTACTGTACTATTGCTAGGGCAATAAATGATATTGATTTAAAGTTTTTAATCTATATATCAATCTTGCATGCTAAAAAATATGATTTTAAACAGTTTGTTGCAGGGTTTTCTTAAACTTCGATTTTTGATTTTAAATTATAAAGTAATGTATTTCCTCGCTGAATTTTATTTAATTTAACTAATTTAATAGATAAGTTTTGTGTTGTATTTTTTGTTTTAGTACACTATTAGAATTTAATTTAGAAAAATCGTGTATAACTTTGCAAGTGACAACTTTAGGAAGTCAAGAAAAATATTTCCTTGAACGTTTTCGATAAATGAACTGCAGTTTATTATAAATAATTTTTAAAATCGCGAGAAAATGTTATAACACTATCAAAACTAAAATACATTTTAGGATACGGGAGTGTTCTATAACTTTCAATCTAACTAAAGCTTTGCGAGCACAAAAATGTCAGAGGTTGTTGTCAACAACACCGATCAGATGGTAGAACATAAAATAGAATACGCATAGTATTGCGTATATCTTAAAAATTATACTATATTGTTACCGCACAAATAGTCGTAACATAACCGAAAATTAAACCTAGAGTTACCATCACAACCAACAGAATTATTTATATTTTGGCCGTTATTACATGGTATGTAAATTTGGTCAAGAGCATGGCGTGCAATATATTTAAGGGAAGATGTCTACTAAGAAAATCGAGACAAATTAGGGTTATGTTAACTACTTATTCCTTAACACTTTACTATCAATATACAAATGATGATATCATGTCCTAGGAAGGCTGAATTATTGAAGAGGTAGAGATATATTTGCTAGAATAAGATAATAATTATGTAACATTAGAAAATACATAATTCAAATTGACAAGGAATATAAGATCATACATTAACACTGACAAGTTAGAAAGGAACAAAAACACTTTATATATAAACGAAATCATTTATTAAAATGGGATAAATATGGAATGTATAAAAATAAAACGGGATATGTCACTCCGAGAGTGGCAGCATAGCTTTCTTATCGTATAAGCACGGGGCGAGGTTTTAATTTGATTGAATTTATATTACTTAATTTTATTTTATATTATTCTA